ATGGAGCTTTCTGCTCAAGGGTTGCGAGGATGTCATGAGAGCGACCAACAAATGGCGCGCGTTGAGAGACGAGGAGCCGCTTGTATGGGAGCTGGAGTGAAGGTCTTGCCAGTGGACTCTCCATGGCCGCAAAAATTGCACAGAGTCTGCACATGATGCTTGGCTCAGGAAATGTTTGACCATCAGTAGATTCCGAAAATACCCAAAAAGCTTCGGAACGATCAGCAGTTCTGGGACCTAATCTACCCCTAGGCACCTACATGCCACAACATTAGTAGACGTATCTGAACTGGGGGATTTCCTTGTCCGTTTTATCAAGCAGATTCAGGGACACGTCGTTTCCAACACCCGTGTCAAGTTCCTCTCCAATGCAGTCGCGTCGCTTGTTTTCCCATATTAGATAGTAACGAAGAATGAAGCACATCAAGACTCCAAGACTGTAGCATATCAACATGGCCAAGAAACCGGAGCTGTAAGAAGGTGCTTCCCACTCAAAGAAGAGTTGCGGACCGATGATGTTACCGGCACAATAGGCAATGAATATCTGTTGGAATCGAATCAGTTTCGAATCCACGGAGCGTGAAATGCCGTACATACCATTGCATTCACTGTAGTTTTCTTGGTAAATCCGCCAAAGTTGCCAGAGGACATGGACAGGATCATGGGAAAGTTGGCACTGTACGCGATCGTGAGGCAGTACCCCATAAACCGTGCCCACTTGAGTTCCGATTCTATCTGGCGAACCATGGCAGCACCAGCAATTGAGATTGCGAGGTTCAATGCCATCCAATAGGTGCGGCTGTTGCGGAAGTAAGTGCTTCCTCCCGTGGCCATGAAGACGAATACGAGCTGGAAGACGGACCCCAGCATCTGTACAAGGAGGGTGTTGAGAGTACTGAAGCCCATTCCCTTGATTACGATGGACCCGAACCCGTGGACGCCACCATTAGCAATCTGGGCGCTGATTTGGATGCCAAAGAGAAGCCAAGCCTTGATATCAGTCAAGGCCTCAACGCACTGATACCACTTGAACGTATCACTTTTGATCCCCGTCAGGTTTTCCTCAACCCGTTCAATCGCTTTGATTCGATCAGCTTCGCTAAGAAATCGAGCCTTCATTGGTGTGTCAGGCAAGAGGAAAAAGATAGCAAAGGACCAGGCTGTAGTGATTCCGCCAAAGATAAGAAATACGGCCTATGCTTGCAAGAGTTAGCAACTCATTCGGCGGCGAATTGGAGGTGGAGTGCATGCCTTCCATGGGGCTATGCTATCGACATGGCCAATAGCGTAAGCAGCAACTCCACCGAAAATACCGGCAACAGTATTGCCAAGGAACCAGGCGCCATGTCGCAGCGGTTGTTCTGAGCGTTTGTACCACATGGAGATGACGATGCTGAGACCTGGCGCAATAGCGGCCTCAGAAATCCCTAGAATGATTCGGTTTGCCAGTAAACCGCCAGCATTGGAGCAAAGCGCAGTGAACATGAGAACAATGCCCCAAACAAGGCTTTGCCGGTTAGTCACATCTCCCAGTATTGTTGCTCAGGCAAAAAGTGCTTACACCGAGACGGCAATCATCTTACCGACAGGAACTCGAACCATCATGACTCCTGCAGGGTACGAAGCAATGAGATAACCGAAGTAGTAAATACTACTTGCCCATGAGTATTCGGAGCCAGTTAGATGCAAGTCAGCCCGCAGGCCCATGATGGCCGTGTAGCTAAGAGCTGACTTGTCAAGGAACTGAAAAAGGTACGACATGGCCATTACTGGTAGAAGACTATGGCTTGACCTTAGTAGACGTATCACCAGGGTAGAGATTGCCACAGGATTCCTTACCACATGTCGATCCTTCGCAATATCCTCCTGTTTTCGTTGTGGGCTAGACCCCGGATCGAGGTTGTGCCTTCACCAATATCTTTCAAGGTCTCATCGGCTGGACCGATGCCAAGATAAGGCTTGCCATCCTTCTCTGACATATTGGAGGGTAAATTAGGATGAACCAATTGCGGATTGTGAAAGGAAATACACAAATTGCAGGGATAAGTTTTGATGCGAGCCTGCTTGGACTTGAGTGAGACTGCGACTTCGATAAGCGGATGAGGTCGATGCTATATATGTGCCGTCTTCACCTGTTGTTCCAAGCTGTTCAAGCTTAAATATGATTGGCGCAAACCAATCCACATCCATGGATGTCCGGCCTCGGTCAAGAACCATACAAAAGGTATCGGTATCGCCCACATGCGTAGGTACTGTGGGGTTGATAGTAGAGCCATCACGGGAACAAGAGCTCGTTGCCCAGAAGTCGTGTTCCAACACGATGCATTTGGCAAGTGGCTGATCAACTTGTCACTGATAGCTATAGTTGATAGCCGACGTAGCTTGGGGGGGAGACATTAGCCGATCCACCTGTCCGCCGTGCCGGCCCATGTCATCCTTCAACAATGCGGGGAAACATGCCGGACTCTGCCTTCAGAGGATCATGATTATCGTGGCGGAGACGGTGGATCAGCCTGCTTAGGGAGACCGACCGGGCATATACCGAACTGATGCTGGTGGCTCAGATAACGAAGAGGCCCACTTCACCGGATTGGAATCGTTCGCGGACGTCTACCCGTCTCGCAAGACTGTTCTGCATCTCTATGATGTCCTTGAGAAAGAAATGGGCCCGGTCGAGGTTCTTACTAAATCGACTCATAGCCTGGAAACGGCTGATAACCCATTCGCGGTGTAGCAAGTCGTCTGTCTCCAGAGCAACCATGAAAAGTGGCCACGCGATACGTGTCATGGCCTCATCGCCTTCATGCTTGAAGGCCTGGAAAGCTAAATTCATGATCTCCCGTAAAGCGCTTCGTTGCCGAGCCGAGAGCATTGGTGTTGCATCAAACCGCGTCAAACGGAGGAATTCGAGAACGACGGCATGATAGTGAGGCACGATGCCGCGAATGTTGGCTACCAGCCGATGTGAGTTATCCGTACTGATGGAAAGCTCTGCTGCAACCTCCAGTAGTTCGGTGAATTTCCAGCCCACTTGTTGAATGGTCATGTCGACAGCCATGACGCGCTGTTGTTGCGAAGCATCATCTTCATGTATGAGATTAGCAAGCTGGGCAATCATGAAGCGCAACTGGCCGCATGCTCCTAGAAGAGCGTAAACATTCCGATTCTCTACGTCGTCGAGAAGCTCTGCCTGGGGGTACGAATCAGCCCACATACTCCGGTACAGTGGATTGGAGAAACGGTGCAATCTCTCGAAGGCGTCAAGCGGCTGAAAGGGGCTGGATATCCCACTGCCAACTTGGCCATCGAGGGCACTCATGATTTTGTGCAGAGCGCAATTGAGTTGCCCGCCAAGGCCGTATGATGCGGCGGCGGCATCGTGTAGCGCGATCCAAACAAGCATTCTTGCTGAGTAAAGCGAAAGGCGGGAACCGCTCGCATCTTGTCCTCGCCTCGTGAGGGCTAAACTTTTCCGATTCGCCTCCGGTGAGGGAGCCGGTAACTGGAGGAGTAAATCCTTGAAGCGGTGTTGTAATATCAAGCTTGCGCCGACAAGATGATTGGACAAGCCCTGACACTTCCCATCTCCATACTTTTGTTCGTAGAGAAGCATGAGATACAGTCCAGTACAGACTGCGTCCAGATCCAGCTGACCGTTATCCTCGCCTCCGATGGTGTCGGCCATCATTCTAAGTGCGGAAGAATAATGTTGAATCGGTGTCTTTGGGCCACGTGCCTCTTCTGCATTCTTGTTGCGCCGGAATTCCAGCTCCCGGCCGCCAAGGGCAAGCACCACATGCATGACCATAGGATCGGTCTGGGCGATGTCGAACATAATGGAATACAGTGAGTAGTCCGGGTTCTTAGTGTGGTTCTGCTTGGCGAAGGACGTGCGAAAGTACCGGATTGCCTCATGATCAGCCGACGAAAGATCAAGTGAACAAGCCCCCATAGCCGGAGCTAACGGATTAAACAGAGATAGAGCCTTCGACTGGTCGAGCTGAGACACTGTCTGCACCCATGTCGGCAAGCTGAGCGACGTTCCGTTTCTTCCAGCCGACGAAGAAGTCGACATGGACGCGACGGGGTGAGACGAGAAGAGCCGGTCTTTGCGTGTTTTGCCCCTCTTTGTAAGTTTGACGCGAGGTGCATAGTCGCAAAGAAGTCGCAGGCGTGTGCAACGATGACAATTTGGCCGCTGCTCATCACATTTCACCTTCTTTGTGCGGCAAGTCCAACACCCGTTTCTCGAACGTGGTCCACTCCGACCCTCGCCCGTGCGCGCCGCCACGGCCGCCGCGGACGCGGTTGTACCGACAAATTCGGCCGCGTCGAGGGAGGGCCGTTCATCGGCAATACTGGGGAGACTGTCGGCTGATACTGAGCTTGTGCTGCCGGGTGAGCTCCCATCGACTTCGGAGGGAGAAGCGCTCATTGGTAGTCGTCTTACCAATTGAATCGAGGTCGGCTGTATCGGCGAGTATAGAATTCCAGCGGAAGCACCTGAGTGGAGGTTGAGGGCTGGGGTGTTTCACCGGATTTCCAATTGAAGAGCACACTTCGTTGACGCGCCTGGGGAACAAAGGACAGTTCGAGTGGGAACTGTGGATGATATGACTGAGATGCGTTGGATGCGCGTTCCCGTCGGAACTCATGAAGAGTCAAATTAGCCGACGAGGAGTACGGAAATGGAACGAGTATTTCACAATATCAGCAGGAGAAAGGGACGATAAGAAAAGCTGGCTGTTGGATTGAAAGCGAGGTGACGAACTCAGCTATTAGCAATAACGTGTGGTTAATAGCGGCCGAGTGCTTGTCGAATGAAAATCTTCCAAAATTGCCGACCATCGGCTATCTTCCGTAATCCGTGCCTATCTGGAAAACGTCTGGAGACCGCGACGTCAGGGTCTGTTGGTCGGCTGGCTGAAAGCACCGATTGCCGATGGATTTGATGGCACCCCCGTCGCAGCTGCGAGGCGCAAGCTCTCCGCAGTCCGCACCGGCAAATGTAATGACGGAAACATGTGTTGGAGGCAGACCTAAATAATATGTCTGCTCATAGTCAACGAGTGGTCAATGACTTTGAAGATTATTGTATTCTACATTTATCGAAGACTCTACACTATCCCGAGCTTCATTTCACTCAGCTTTGGTGCTCCTTGTTAATTGTTCCGCTGCGCGTAAGGCATTTACGCTTCGGATTTGGTCGCCATGTCCATCATCCAGATCCCGGTCACCGCTAATGCTGCTGGGGAGCAACAGAACGCCAACCCTGTTCTCGAACCAGTGCAAGTGGCTTTTGACTTCGAAGAGGCCCGCAAGATCATCAACACACACCTCGATGACCTGGACTCTTCTCTTCACGACAACATCAACAAACAACTACACGCAAACCCAGAAACAGCATACAAGGAGTTCTTTGCTCACGATACAATCACAACTTATTTAGAAAAGCAAGGGTTCACTGTGAAAAGGCAAACCTATGGCCTCGAAACGAGCTTCGAGGCCGAAATAGGCACCGGCGGCCGCCAAGTCGTTGTTTGCGCTGAATACGATGCTCTGCCAGACATTGGCCATGCCTGCGGACACAACTTGATTGCAACGTCCTCAATTGCGGCATTTCTGGGAGCTGCTCGCGCACTCGTCGACTTGAAAATTCCTGGCCGCCTACGCATCCTCGGTACCCCAGCCGAAGAAGGGGGTGGCGGTAAAGCGAAGCTCATTGATGCTGGCGCCTTCGATCCACCCAAGGATATCGCAGCTGCCATTATGGCACACCCAACTGCAGCTCACCAGGGCGGCAGCGGAGATGGTTCCTCGGGACTGGCAGGCTTCAAGCTCATTGCAAGCCACAAGTTCCGCATTGAATTTCGTGGGAAGCCAGCTCACGCAGCAGGTGAGCCATGGAAAGGGCTGAACGCATTGGATGCAGCTGTAGCGGCCTACAGCAACGTGGCTCTCTTAAGGCAGCAAATCCAGTCAGACGAAAGAGTTCATGGTGTAATCGAAGTCGGTGGCACCGTTCCCAACGTCATCACGGACTATACCCGTATGAATTGGAATGTTCGCAGCCCAACGATCAAGCGAGCTGATGCACTGTTGAAGAGAGTCAAGGCATGCCTGGAAGCAGGCGCAGCAGCGACGGGCTGCGAGATGAACTACATTGTGTAAATATCATGGCCGCTACTACTTTTGCGACTTCACTAATACGGCTCCTACAGAGCGCCGACGTACATGAACCTACGAGCTAACAACACACTCTGCAAGGCATATGTGGAAGACATGGCGGCAATCGGGCAGACAATCCAGCTTCATCAGGCAAAGCCATTCAACGCATCGACGGATATGGGAAACGTTTCGTATCATGTGCCTAGCTTCCATGGCGCCTTCGTCATCCCCACCTCGCCAGATGTGGCAGGCCACAATCCCAAATTCGCGGCTGCTGCTGCAACTGACGAAGCTCACAAGGCGGCTCTTACATGCGCCAAGGGTATGGCGATGCTTGCCGTAAGAGTGCTTGTTGATGATACTATTGCATCACAGGCGATGGAAGACTTTGGAAGCCCAGATGAGGACTGAAAGAGAAACTTTGGGGAAAGTAATGTCCAGCATTTAATATCAACAATGCTACAATGTCAAATACCTGGCAGTAAAATGCTTCTATTCAGGCTCGCAATAGAAAGTAATTACAAGATCCTAATAGTAACTTGAGATATGAATCAAGGCAAATGCCCGTCGTACCCAGCTTGTATAAGCCTTTGGTTTGCCTCCCAAACCTCGGGAGGAATTTCTTGCTCAACTTGATATCCCTTTGCCGGGTACTCTCGAATTCTCATCAAGTCTCCCACCATGATTTCAATAACCAAGTCTCTGGGATTTTCCTTATTCGAATACTGGGCAAACTCCAGTTGAGGGCTTGTTACAGTGAACACTGTTTTGGGGTCTGGCCATTGTTTTCGGAAGGTCGCGAATGTTCTTCTTTCCATGTATGGCTTCTGGACTAGCACGAAACTCGTGGCATCTAGCCCTAATTCTCTCAAAAGGGCGTGGGTGAACCGAACATTCTCGCCGGTATTGCTGGAATTTGGCTCGACGATAATCTTATTGGCCGGGACCCCCAAATTCTTTGCAATGCCTGCAAACACTTCGGCTTCTGGTTGCGTGAATCGATTCGCCGTGAGCTTCCCTGATCCGCCCGAGTAAATAAGATAATCTCCGTATCCGTCGAGAAAAAGCTGTGCTGCGCGTGTAGCTACGCGTGTGTCGAGACTGCAAAGGCAAAAAATGGCACTAGCAGGACTGACAGCCATATGCATTCGATGATATTCATATACGATCCCCGCATCGAGGTTGATCTGAGATGACTCGGAAGCCATGGTGAGGCGGGATGTGTATAAGAATGCTGCAGGGCAGTTGCAGTGCCTCGTCGTGACTCGTGAGAGAAACAAGAGAAAGACAAGAGGATTGAGAGGTAGAAAAGTAAATAAACGAGTCGACCTTAGTCAGCGCATGGTGACTAGTAATTTGTCCTTGTCATGTGGCGTGGCGTCGATGTTATGCACGCGACGAGACATGCATGTGGCTCCTCAACTACGCTTCGTCCTTTCGGGTTATCATGTTGCACTGTACCTGTCAGCATCTAAGGGGTGAATCTGACATATCTACTTTCTCAACGGCAAAGTGAGGGTAGAAAGAAATTGGCAATGATGCAGTTTCATATTAAATGTCATTCAATATTTGTCAACTCTCTCCCGAGAACTGACGACTGTACGCTACTGAATTTCAATAGTATCTTGCAGAACGAGATTTCTGCTCGATGGCCCAGACCATACTGTGTAAGTTCCCCGACGTAAACGCCACTGCTGAGCTTCGACATCCCAAATGCTCAGATCACGTCTTGTGAGTTCAAATGCGACCGACTGTGTCTGTCCACGAGAGAGGAAGACACGGGAAAAGCCTCGAAGCTGTCGAATGGGTGTGTCGTCGCCCGGAACTCCAATGTATAGTTGCGCAACCTCCGCTCCACCCAGATCGCCGGTATTAGTGACAGATACTCTTGCGACTGCGACGTTTTCCCACAGTGATGGATGGCCTCCCTGCACAATTGGCACACCAGGGTCGGGATATTCTGATGTATCAGCGTCTGCCGTGAGCGCGACAGACAAATCAGCAAAGCTGAAAGTGGTGTATGAGAGCCCATAGCCAAACTCGTAGCGAGGAGTGATGTTGTGTGCATCGAAATAGCGGTAATCGATGTAAAGGCCTTCAGTGAAGTCACTGTCAGGGAAGAAGTCATCTGAGGCACTCGAATTGAGATGGCTCCCATAATCCGACTCCTGCCGAGCGACAGTAAAAGGCAGCTTGCCAGAGGGATTGATGTCACCCCACAATACATCCACAAGACTGTGACCGCTCTCCTGGCCAGGCAGTCCGGCAAAAAGAACAGCAGTGACGTTGGGGTGCTCGATCCAAGCATCAACAGTGCGGATGCCTGAGATCCATTAGCTTTTGAAAGGGTCCCATGAAATGTCTTTATTTATTCCACTTACCAGTTGAGTGAATCACGACCACAGTGTTTGAGCAATTTGCGGCTACGTTCTGGACGAGGTTGTCGCTAAATTCGTCTGTGAGGCTTAGGCGATCAAAGCTCTCAGAGGCATAAGCGTTGATGAATACTAGGCAGGCTTCGGAGTTGACGTAGGGTGGGGAGGGGTTCTCAGAGTAGAAGTCCCATCGGAGAATGCCTCGATTCTTGGAGATTCGCTCCTGGATTGCCTGGAACGGCGATACCACGTATGGAGGAGTACTGCCGCCAGAGCCACCACCGGTGATCAGTGTCCCGTTGAATGTTTCCCAGCCAAAGTTAACTTCGTAACCGCCACCATAGCGAGTGGGGTTTTGCCAGGGGATGGCCTTGACTGTTGCGTCGTAGCCATAGATAGACAGGAACTTGGGATTATCAAGCGGAAGCGTATGGTTGATGTTCTTCACCAAGACTGTGCCAGCCGCTCCGATTTGGCGGATCAAAGAAGCATGGTCGTCTTGAACATCGACGGGGTAAGCCTTTTGAAGATTAGAGTGCACAGCCGGACCAGGGAAAGCGTGCTCTTGGTGAAGGAAGTGATAGCCAGCGAGAATTCTTGTGGCCATGTCAGAGAGTCGAGCCTCTGTTACAGAACCATTGTTGACAGCCTCGATCAGCTTGTCTCCCCAGAAACCGTCATCCGGCATCACAAGATCCAAGCCAGCGTTGGCTGAGGCAACACCGCCCATCTGGCCTTCCCAATCGCTAACAACAAAACCTTCGAAGCCGAGCTCAGTCTTCAGAATACCATTTAAGAGTTTGGAGTTTTGGCAGCCGTAAGAGTGATTGGATCTTTGGTATGAGCACATAACGGAAGCGGCACCCTCTTTGAGAGAGTTCATGAAGGGCCAGACGTAAAGTTCATGAAGTGCTCGGTCGTCGACGTTCGAACTGATTGCCTCGCCCAGGTCGGATACTCGACGGCGATACTCTTGCTCGTTCAAAAGCCAATGTTTGGCAGTGGCGATGACACCGGCATTCTGGATACCACGGGTAATCGCGCCCATGCCAACACCTGCAAGGTATGGATCGCTCGACAAACCCTCCCAGTTGCGGCCACCACGAGCAACCCTTCCAAGAGGTCCAGCGGCCGGACCGAGAGCGACGTTGATACCCTTCCCATAGTACTCGTCACCTAGCGCCTTACCATACTTGTACAGGAGGGCTTTGTCGAAGGTAGCGGCAACATGGATTCCAGCTGGGAAGGCAGAAACGAATTCTTGACCGCGAATTCCGTCGGGTGCATCAGCAAAGCACAGTGCTGGGATTCCGAGCCGAGGAACCTCGCCGGAGTTCCCTACACATGTGCCAGTCCACCCACGAGTGATGTTTGCCTTCTCTTCGACGGTGAGCTGAGAGACCAAGGCCCTTGCGTGGCGATAAGCGGCGGCCCATCCAGCGTTGCTGGAGCCATTGCCGATAGCTGCTTCATGTTAGATGGTTTGGACTCAACCAATGAAGCTCGAAAACCTACGAGATGGGTACACCGGTGGACTTCTTCCGTAGTATGGCACTTCAGATGGCGCAGTGCTGTTTGACTGTCCCGCAGCTGAAGAGCTGGCAAGGGCAACAGCGAGAGAAACCCCCGTAACCTTCATTTTCTCGTTGACCACGAAGCTGATCTGCAACGTTGAGATATCGACAGGCAATACAAGAGACTGCTGAAGTGCCACGAGAAACCGGGAATGTAGTCACTGGAAAGGAGTTTAATATAGCGACTGCGAACCAAGCAGACACCGAGTTGAGATATTGGACTTAGGTATCCTGATTGAGTGATACCATACAAATTGCGCCGGAAACGTCATCGTCGGTGAGGCAGAGCCCGAGATGGGTAACGGTCAATCGGTCCTATTATCAAGATGCGATGGGCACCCGCAGAATGTGGATTCCTGACTCGACTTTATCCGGAAAGTAACAGCGGTCATCATCAGCCAACTTTGTGTGTATGATCGTGCTGGTATAGGTAATGAGAAATGAGCCAACACGGCGGCAAGCCAATGGTCAACTCGGAAGACCACCGGTGGGGTCACCAGACGAAAAAGCCGGGAATTCTCCGGGGAAACATTTCCACTTCTCCACCGAAATGCCCTCAACCCCTGGACTTTAAGCTTGGTTTGCGTAGTAATAGCGGGCAGTCCCCGATGCGGAGAGCGCGGGGTAGACCGGAGCAGCAGCGCACACGATAATCCAAGCCGAAATGGCGCAACTTTTCCCACCTTGACATCTTGCGGAGTCAAGGATAGTGGCACACGTCCTCCACCGTGGCAGTGTTGCACTGAGTGACCAGCGAGTAAGAATATTGCCGTGAACCGTACCCGTGGACCGAGTCTGTGACGCGCTTTCGGGATTTGGCCGTGGGTGCAACTTGCAAGTCCCCGCTAGCGCTTAGAGAAGACCGCTCGGCTCACTAGGCGGCATCGGGCCTTGACCGCAAGTTGCGCTGCCTTTGCCGCTTCGGATTCAAATTGCTGTCTGCGTTATCGCCATATTCCGACATACCATTGGCATCATCTCGTTGAAGTAATTGGCTTTGAGATCTCCAGGCTTATCTCAAAATAAAGTGTTCGATAGCAAGTGGAAGATGCTACAATAGTAAGGATGGTTGGAATGCAAACACGTGGGAATCCTCTTTTTGCCTTTGCACCCTGGAGATACAGTTGAGGATACTGTGCTGTGAAGCCTTCAAATTGACTGGACTCTCTAAGTTTTTGGGAGTTTTCTCAGGATAAGAGAAAACCTACCTGTAAGTGCTGACGATACTGAGATCCACACATCGCAAAAATCTAACATTGCCAGTAAACGGCCGGACCTACTAAAATCTTAGTCAACCCAGCAATCCAACCTAGAGCTACTACGAATGCCAAGGCTGCCATCTGATATTCATCTCAATCTTTTACCGGCTACGATTGCACAGACAAAATATCCTAGCGGAGTTTGGACCATTGTAGCCAATCGTGTTCTCTTCCGGACGCTAAAAGCTTGTTTGAGGCCTGCTTCACATCGGAATGGCTTCAACCCTGCTGCAACGTTCATTCCCTTGAACATGCGAAAGCATTTTGCACATTATGACTCTGCCTTTGCTGCCTAAAACAGAGTCAAGGCAAGTATCACCATCCTCCATTTGAATGTACAATAGCCATCTTGGGCAATTGGCCACCTTATCGCCGAGGCATCACGCTGTCGATCTCGAAAACTTATAAACGAGCATTTTACCTACCAGAGTGCTAGAATCGTATTTAATATCAACAATGAGGAGAATTAGGTCGATTGTCATAAAGACAACCAACCGTAAAAGAAGTAAGTATGCAAACACAAAGTCTGTGTTGCAAGCCAGCCGGGAGTGAAACGGCTTCCGGTTCCGTGCGAGTATCAGACATCAGCGCAAATACCCTTGGGTGCATGAGCGTCCGAACCCCAAGTTTCCACCCAGGGAACTTTCAGGTATAATAGGCGTGGCCCTGGCCTCGAAACTCAAATGTAATGTTCTATCAACTCTGACCTCATTTGCTTGATATTTCCAACTCAACGTCTTCTTTCGCCTAATCAATAGAATTGGAGTCTAGAGATGCATCCCTCTTTCCTTATGACCATTTGCATTGCCGGCGCGATGGCAGCTCCAAATATTCGACGACAAGAGCCAGGGCCGACCGTGCCACTGCGGATAATGGCGCTGGGTGCCTCCGTGACATTCGGCACTGGATCTTCAACTGGAAATAGTTATCGCAAAGACTTGCAGGACTTACTCGTCTCTAAAGGCATGAATGCCACCTACGTCGGCACAAGGGCTAATGGCAACTTCCCCGACAATGCCGTCGAGGCAACAGGTGGCTTCAAAATCGACCAGATCGCTGCCTCGGCCGACCTGGCCGTTCCTATGCTCAAACCAAACCTCGTATTAGTCGACGCTGGCACGAACAATTGCAACAAAGGTGGAGAGGTACCGGACGCAGGAGCCAATGTCACAACCATGATCAACAAGATTTACCAACAGAGTCCCGGAGCTACTGTGATTCTTACATCAATTCTTGCCAACAAAGTCCCTGAACAAGACGCATGCCGAGTCAAAATCAACGACCAGTACGCAACCTTAGCAACACAGCTCCAGCAATCCGGCGCCAAGTTTGCGATGGTTGATATGCGCAGCGCAGATGCCCCAACTCTCGATGATCTTGCTGACACGAGGCATCCAAATGATGGAGGATACGTTAAAATGGCGAATGTCTGGCTCAAAGGAATCCAGGACGTCATGTCCAGGGGATTCATAACTCTACCATCTTGAACGATGAAGCGAGGGAAGAGATTAATCAGATTTGATTGACTAATGTAATGCAATTATCAATTTCTGTCACGAGCAGAGTCAGTCAAGTGACTAACATGATTGAAGCACGCACTCACATTGTTGAAATATGAATGAAGATGCTCACTTGAAAGATAATGAACCAACGCTCTTCAGTTTTCCGGATGGCGAACATGATCGACCGCTCCATGGCTCCAGACAAGCCCAGATAAGCCCTTAGGCCTTTCCCAAGGTAATGGGATAGCTAGCAGCAATGACTAGAATGGTAACAACCAACAGCAACGATAATCGCACCATATTCGGACTATTAGTCTCTACTTCTAACAGAATTGAAGACTGAACAAACGCAAGATTTGGGACGCTAGGTTTTCTAGCGTAAGGAGCTTCCCAATAACATGTATAAGCACTCTGGTAGGGTAGGGGTAGAACAAAAGCTAAGGTAGGTTTTGAGGCCGAATTCAAAGGATCGAAGTCTTGAAAATATATGACTAATCGATATTTATCCAATACCCTTCTCATCCCTTCGACCCTAAGCTCAAACGGTATTGTTCTTCGTAGCACGTTTCCATCACATCTAAAGCCGGCCGGATTCTTCTGCTGTCCTGCCTCTCATTTGCCCGCAATCCAAGTGACAAACTCAACGGGGCTATCTGTTTTTTATTTTATTTTTGTTTTTCAGTAAGAGCAGGGAACGCAACCAAGTTCCTCAGGAGCTGTGAATTAGCTTGTCAGAAATCTACTCCCAGGGCGAGTGTCGAGTAGGATGCATCATACCACACGGGAGATGAGGTGCCGGACACAAGCGCCATGTTGTTATTATTGTTATTGTATTTAACGCCGTGGCGGCCGGGCTAGAGCCCTTACCGCAGACCTCCCGAAGGGTATATGGTGTAGAGGGCCGTGAGCTAAGGCTACCTACTCTATAGTACGTTATCTTTTTATATCGTCCTCTAAATCATGCTTTATGGCTATTATGCGTTCTATCTATCCCTGGTTCCTGCTAGTACCCTAGTTTTATTCTTTTTTAAATCGTCCTTTAGAATCGGGAGGTTTTTTATAGTCCGTATTTATATTTATATAGGTATAGATACTATTATTATAGATAGATCTTTTAAAAGAAGTCCGTTATATAGAGAAAGGCCTTAAAGTTTTATAGGTCGGTAATTAATTTTTTAAAGTAGGCCTTAAGAGATCCTATAGGGCCTATGGGCTCGGGTATATTATAAGAGTAAAGGGTCAGCTACCGTTGCCTCTTTACTAGCGTTAATTAATAATAGATTAGGTAGTTTATGTCTTTTACCTCTCTATAAGAGTATATTATTAGAGCGTCGTTATGGTTAAAATATTAATAATATTATTTGAAGTCCCCGTGACCTGATTATACTGCTAGTAGGTAATATAGTATAGCCTACGGTAAGGCTAGTTTAGGAGGGCTAGATAGAGCTACCTTAAGCCTTAAGTCCGTATACTGCGGCCTTTACTTTTTATATTATTATCTCCTATAGTAGCCTTATAGTTTTTCCTTTATAAGCCGCTTAATATTTATTAGTATTATTATTTAATCTATCTATACTGGTAGTGTTATTCCTTCTTTAGCTAGCCGGTCTACGGCCTTATTTCTTTTAATACCTTAGTGTCCTAGAGACTAGTACGTTTATATATTAAAAATCCTAGCTGCTTTTTGGATTTTGAGGAACGCCTCTTGTAACGAGTCTAGCGCCTTATTATAAATATTTTATATAATATTAGTATTATTGATATATATATAAATTAAATAACCGCGATTAGTAAGTAGAGCCCTTTTAAGGCCGGCTTATATTCTTTTAACTTCGGCGTTAAATACTTTTATCAGTCCGAATTGGCTATACCTTTATACTATATGTTTAGAGTCTTAGTAGATAATAAAGTTATACCCTACGGCTTTATTTATCGCCTTAGAGCCGTTTAAAAAAACGATTATATAGCTTTCTGGTATTATTTTTAACTAGTGCTTAAAATCTTTTATAACCTTTTTTTTATATTAAATTATTATTTAATCCTATAAGCTTAGTAGATACTGTGATTAAAGGAATATTAGTCTTCTATATTTTAATAGAAGTTTAGCTATCTATTATAATTTTATTTGTTACTATCCTTATTAGGAGAGCTATATAATTAGCGGGTATTAGTAATCGATTTTTTATAGTTGGACTATGGCCTATAAGCGGATACTTTTTAGAGCGATTTTAGCTAACGGTAAGCCGGTATTTTAGAGGAGGCTACTAGTTGGCGTTATCTTTTAAATAAGTAGAACGGCCCTTACTGTTATTATAATAATGCTATTAATCTTTTATATAAGCCCCTTTTGGCCTATATTAATGGGTCTTCTTTAGAGAGGCGGATTTATATTTATTTTTACTTGGTATTTTAAAGCCGGCTTTATAATACCTACGTACTATATTTTAGCGCTAAAAAGCGCGATTAGTAGTATATAGGAGACGATAGCTTTTTATATAGTGGCTATTAGTAATCCTCTCTTTATGTTTATAAGTTATTTTAGGTATTAAGCTGCCTTTTTTGCTATAGCTACTCTTATATTAACGTGGTATTAGAAGGATAGTCTTTTATCGAATTAGATATCTAGCTAGTGTATAGGTTTTATTAAGGCCTTAACTACTAAATCCCCTGCCCTAACCTCTAGTAGCTTTGCTAGCTAGCCGTACTTCTTAATAAAATAAATGACCTTATATTTACTCGGGTTAAAAGAGACCTTATTTTCTAAACCCTATTTAAAAATACCGGTTATACTTTGGTTAAGTATTGTAACGTTATTTTCTAGGAAGGGGCTTATGGCTAGAGTAGCGATGTTATTTATATACCTAAATCGTGCGTCCGGGTCGTTTTTAAGTATTTTTACGATATAGAGTAGAAAGACGATAAGAAATAAAGGCGACCTTTATAGTAACCTATATAATAAAAGAAAGTATTCCGTTATACTTTTTTCTAGTTAGACTCTAGTAATACGGATGTAATAGAAGCTAAAGATAAGTTTAATTAAGCTGTATGGCTATCCTTATTAATATAGTTTAATAACGAGCCGGTTCTAAAGAATAGAGTTAAATGCCTTTTTTATATTTATAATTAAAAGTATTGCCGTGAGCCTTTTTAAGAGGGCCGTTTCGATATTATAGGTAAGGTAGGTTATCAGATCGATAGTTAATTTACCTTATAAGGCTCCGATCTATTACGGACTGATAATATATTTAATAATCGCCAGGGACGCTATCTTTTTAACTATTAGTCTCTTAAGTCCCTTGCCTAGGTATGAGAGGAGTGCGATTGGACGCTAGGACCCGGACTTAAAAGTATCCTTACCGGCCTTTTAGATTATAACCACCTTAGCTCTATAGAAAGATAGAAGAAAGTAGCCGGCCTATATATAAGACTAGAATAGCTGCCTAACTGGCTCTAAAATAACGCCCTAGCAGGCCTAGAGGAGGCATATAATGATCCTGTCTATATTAGGGGTCGTTATTTTTATTAAAGTAGCTATTTTCACTTCTTTTTTACTAATATTATCTTATTAAATAATTACTCGCTTTAGAACGACGGGTATATTAAACGGGTCACTTAGTACGTTATTTTCCATATTAAACTTATTAAGAAGGGTTTTTTAGAGCGCTTAGGCTTTTTTATTAATATCCTCGATTATTTAATTATCTATAATTAATAGGGGTGCTCTAGTTAGTAGGCTCGCCTTTTACTAACCTATAACTTAATAGAGGTCTTAGTCTAAAGCGACTCTATTAATCTTTCCGGCTTAATATACTCGCTTAGCCTTTTTTATAATACTTAAGAATACTTTCCGCTTTTTTATTAAAAAAGGATTTATATTCTATTCTATCTTCTAAGTTTGTAGGTTATAAATAGTACGGTACGTTCTATAGGCCTTTATATATTCCTCTATTTATTAAGCTACGCTTTTTCTTTATTTTCCTTTCTTTTTACTGACCGCTTTAATAGCTTAGGAGAAGAGCTTAACGATATGATTTACTTACCCGTCTAGGTTTATTAGAATAGGTTAATCTCCTAAATTAGGTATTATAGCTAGCCCCCCTTTAATTAAGTCTTTTAACCGAGGCAGCGCTAAGTTAGGTATTAATAATAGCCGTAGTTATAGGTGGCCCTCTCCCTATAATATTAGGCGTTTAAATAATAGTATAACGGCTATAATGGCCTTATAGTTAGCTCCCAGGTATAACTATAAGCTGACCTATGCGTATATAAAAGGGATATTAAAGAAAGCTAGGTCTAGGACATATCCATAATCCTAGGTTATTACTTTAACTTTATTAATAAAAGAGAGATTATAGCCATTTACCTAGCCTATAATATTATCTCCCTAGTTCCCGTTCTTCGTCCCGGGCTTTTAAGAATAGTGATATACGTTAAAGTCATTTACGATTAAAGCTTGCTTTAGGGGTTTAAGTTCTAATAATATCCTTATTATGCGGCTATAGGGGTTATGGGGTTATCTATATACGTTAATAATAGTCGTTGTTTTATTAATTATTAGCTATAGTATGTCTCTTGTATAGATAGGCTTTTATTACTTTACCGTCATCCTTATCCCTTTATATATATAAGTTAATACTTTTAGTCTAGTTCTTTTATTATCTTAAAAGTTAATTAAGACGAAAGAGTCGAAACCTAGGTACGTATTTAATTATACGTTTCTATTTTTCTAGCCCGTTTAGGGTTCTTAGATAAGGACTATATCTATTTAAGCTTCTTAATAAAGCTATAAGAAAGCTGTATACGCCGGGGAGATTTTTTTAATATTACTTTATATAATATGTAGTATCCGTAGGGTTACCGCTTTTGGCTTATATTTTTAAATTAAGTTTAAGGTAAGTATAGGTATTTGTAACGTTATAGTTTGGCTTTTATATTACCCGTTGGCTCTTATTTGGTATAGGTAGTATAGGACGGTCGATAGAGGT